TCCTCTCCCTCTTCTACCCCGAAAAGTCGAATGTTGTTCCTTCGCGATCTAGATTCAAGATCGGTCAGTTTGTTTTGGATACTCCTCTGTCGCTTAATGCTTTCAGTCAGCGCTTCAGTCAAATCCAGTGTCATGTCCTCAACACATCCCACGCGGTTCTCCGCTTCTTTCATTCTTTCCGTCAGGCCTCTCACTTCCTCCGTCAGGTTGTTGAGTTTATTACCCATCTCCTGGCGCAGGTCATTGATGTCCTTCCTTAGTTTGTCATTGTCCTCCTTCAGTTCGGATTTAAGCGTTTCTATTGCTTCCAATATCGCGCTTGAGGTTTTGTTAGTTCCGCCCGGGCTCGAGCTTGCTTGCTCGGTTGCGTTGCTAGCTTTTGCCGCGGTTGATTTGTCTCCTTTCGGCATTTTGCGTCTTTTTGGTCTTTAACGTTTTAAACCCCACTCAAATGCTTAATTTACTCTATTAATGGATAATATATCATCAGAGTTTTGGTGGGTATTTTCCATCAATCTCGGAGAGCGGTCACCAAACACGTCTGTCACATTACCCCATCACCGGAAGTCAACAAAGTTTAAGTTTTATAAGCTCAAATGGTCACCTTTCTCTGTTCTGTCCAAAAAGTAAAATTTTATAATAAATTCTAAATTTGACAGGTAGCCAATGGAGTTTGAATAAGATGGGGGTGATCGATTCATACTTGCGTGTCCCAGTGAGGAGTCTAGCAGCTGCGTTTTGCACTAGCTGTAAGCGCGAGAGAGAAGACTGAAATAGACCAAAATAAAGAGAATTACAGAATTACTATGTTTTAGAGGGAAGTAAATCTGAGTATCGTCAGCATACAAATGAAAGGATACTCTGTGTTTGTTAAAAATAGTAGCCAAAGGTAGCAAATATAGAATAAACAATACCGGCCCAAGGATTGATCCCTGTGGGACTAATATCTAATAAAACTAGAGCCAGTGATTTCCTAGAATCAGTTGCAGTGAAAATATCACTTGAAACTCTTAAGAGAGCAGATTCGGTACTGTGTAAAGCTTTAAAACCAGATTGAAAAATTTCATGGAGAGAATTTACGGATAAGTATGATTGTAATTGAATCAATACAACTCTCTCAATTATTTTTGAGATAAAAGGTAAGTTAGAGATAGGACGAAAGTTACAGAGCTCAGAAGGATCGAGATTGTTTTTTTTAAGATATAGCGTCACCACGGCAACTTTCAGACTGCTAGGGAAGGAACCGGTTGGCAGGCATTTGTTAATTAAAAGTAAGAGGCCAGGACCAACTGTGGCCATGATTTGTCTTAGGAAAAAAGGTGGAATAATATCCTGTGGACAGATAGTAGGTTTTAAATGACCAACAATTTCATTACATGTGTCCAGATCAATCGGCTCGAACTCAGACCAGGTGGAAAGACATAATGGATCAACATGGATACTTGATGTGATGGAATAATTTTACTGGGTGTTGCATCTATTCATTTTACTGTCACAGTATTATTTTTAAATAAAAGATTGATTCATCCATCGACCCCTGGATGTCGACAAAGTAAACGAAGGTCAAGTCTTTCGAAACTTGTATGGTGATATAAAGAAGCGCGAGAATCCTCTATTTAATTACAAAGTAGGCGACGTTGTTTACTTTGTCGACATCCAGGGGTCTCATTCTAATACTCCAATGATAACTAGAGTTGTATCCTTGTATAAGATCCTGTAAAACGTCTGTGTATCGACGGGAATTTGTAGCCGTTAAAAATCTCCACATGTGACTTTTTAATGTTCTATTAAACCGCTCCACAACGCTGGCCTTCAAATCAATGGCAGTAGCGAAATGATTAATTTTATGCGTTTTCATTACATCTTGAAAATGTTTGTTAAAAAATTCCTTCCCTTGATCCGTCTGTAATTTCTGCGAAATACGCCCCTCTTCGAGTATAGACTCAAACGCCTTAGTAACCTCGAGACCGCTCTTATTCTTCAGCACTCGTACCCATGCATACTTGCTAAACACATCTATACACGTTAGCAAATATTTATTACCGTCATTATCTTTGGAGTATGCTATCATGTCAACGAGATCAGCCTGGAACTGAGTATCAACCCCGTACACCACTACTCTATTGCGTTTGTATTTTATAGGAGCTGTTTTGTGTAATGTGTAAGCATCCTCTCCGGACAGCCACTCCGAAACCTGTTTATCGCTTAGACGCACACCGCTGTCTTTTAAGACAGCGTCTTTCAACCGTTTTTTACCCCCTAAAGAACCGGGGTTGGCCGGTCCATAATACGCCTTTTTCATAAGCTCTGTCATGTTGTTGACGTGTCAGTGAAAAAATAACACTTACAAAGGTATGAATCAATCTTTTATTTAAAAATAATACTGTGACAGTAAAATGAATAGATGCAACACCCAGTAAAATTATTCCATCACATCAAGTAAAATGGTATTAATACAACACACTAAATTTGATATATATATTGGTTAGTAAAATAGAACGTAATAACATCATGGATAATCTAACCAGAATAGGAAATCACGACATACCATCAGGTTTTGGTCCAGTATATAATTGACAAACATTATGTTAATGTCGTTGAGAATCTCCATCATTTCTAAAGTTCTGTCCACATCATTTTCATATTCTCTCGACTTCACATTCAGCTCCGTACATATGTCCGCAACATACGTAAACATGCACAAAACATTGATAATACCAATATAGCTTTGTGATTCGCACATCATTTCGAGAACCTCTTTTACCATTACACCGGGGGGATCAGGTCCATTAATACATTTTTCAGTCATATCAGACAACCCTCTTATATGTTCCATCATTTTCTTGAGATTTGCTTCGCGTCTCGTGTCTGGACTGCCTGGTTTATCGGGGTAGGTTGCATCGGAAACCATCTTGTTCATAAGACTCTCCATCTGTTCCAGGTAATGTTCTTTAAACATGGATTCCATACAGCTCTTTAGGCTACAGGCAACACCCATGTTGGTGGGGTCTTGTTCACTAGCCATTCACGATTGAGAGACCCTGCCAGAGATCAACAACGTCGTAGACAATGGCCTTGCAGGGTTTGTCCAAAAGTTTAACCCTGATTTCTTCTAGCTTAGCAGCGATGAAGGGCTCGTCTTTTAATTTGTGCAGAATAGTTCCGACTGTTCCTTGAATCCGGTGAGGATGGGATTTTAAGCCGCAGCGGGTTAGGACAATCCCGATGATGAAATGCAGATTGGGTTTAAACAGTCTATTGGACTGCTCGTCAAAGTAGGTATCAAAGTAGTATGTAGGGGGGTCAAACAGACAGGAATGTTGTAGCTGGCTAGGGTGGTTTATCGCACATCCCTCACAGTCTTCCTTCAGCTTTTCTCCGATGAGATGTTGCAGCAACAGCACGACAGTGGCTTTTATGATTTTGAATCCAACTTCGGTGAAGCATCCATCCGTGGCGTCGAAACAGGGTTTGACTGCAAACTCACTACCGCTACATGCATCAGACAGGAAAGTCAGGTTGCGAGCACCAAGGTCTCTGCCAAATTTATCCAGCCAGTCTTTGTGAGGGGTCCGAGGTTCCAGGAGTTTCGGTCAGAATATGGTCGGTAGCGTTGTCGTCAGGAGGTCCAGGAATATAATCGAAAGAGATGCCGCAACTGCACACATGTGCGTGTTCTGAAGCGACGTCTTCAGCCATGCTTTATAAATGAGACTTGGTGGGGTCTGACTACGGAGTTTTATAACCATAGTAAATGGGTGGGGCCGGCCACTTCTATCTGCTTCTTCGGTTGCATCTCTCAGGGTGGAACATTTGCACTTTAATTTTACTGTATCCGGCTTGCATGTCACACCACTTGAACATCTTGTTTATGTTTGAAAAAATACTGCTCAGCAGAGTCACATCGCACCACTTGAACAAAAATTGCATTTCATAGAACTCAAGATGTTCATTTTGACGTACGCGTCCTGAATGACTCCCGAGATTTGTCGTGTCTTTACAACAGAATATGTATACGCAATCATCCGGATTCTTTTTAGTATGGTCGCCGACTACTTGGTACCGGACATTCGGGGTGGCTCCATCCCACTCGGCAATGTACAATGGTTCATCACCACTGTCATTCAGATCCTTCCACACTAGTCTGTAAAATAAAGACCAGTCTTTCTCAGGAAATTCCAGACATGTGTCTTCACCCAGTGTAAAATCACCAACGCCGTCACCGGTGTAGAGCATAACAACTCGAGATGGTTTGTGAAATATGTATCCGAATACACGGCCACTATTCATCAGAAATTCGCCTTTACACCAGTCCGTAGTTTCATGGAGAAACTTTGTCAAACTCACATGCCCATGCGGCTTTCTTGGTGCCATAGCTAGACTTTCCATCAGATCATCATTTATCGATCCCTCTGGGGATTTAGGTGAGTATAAATTGTCCATACTTTGTAAAATCAGAAGCAATGAGTGAGATTCAAGAGTACAACACATCCATTTATACAACCAACCGCTGCTCTGGAATGTGGTGGGACGAATCCATTGAAACATAAAACCTTACATCATATTAATGATTCCCTTATAATCACAAGGACCAGAGATCCCCTTCGAACATAAAATCTTACATCATATCAATGATTCCCTTATAATCACGAGGACAGAGACATACCACACCTATTATGCAATTGCACACCAGGTCATACGACACAAGGTCACAACAGGGCCAAGGTCATCGAATGGACAAGGTCAACCCAAGGACGCAGGGAGGAGGGGCCGGGTCAAACACAGGGCACGGGGAGGGGCCACGTCAAAGGTCACCATCAATCATCATTAATTAAAAAGCCATTAATCACTTTGACACATGGTGGATCCTATCACTACTGTCCACACATCCTGTATCTCCAAAACCAAAGTGAACACTTCTTACTTTATACTGTCCTCAAATACTCTCTCATAAAACCTTCAATCTGTGGCTGAATCCAGTTATTTTCTTCCCCTAATAGACGATGGTTTTCTATTCAAAACAGTCAGCTGGTTTATCAAAAGAGATTCCGGGTAAGTCTGTTTTAAAGACTTGTAAACAAGTTGTTGCACTGTAACTACAGTGTTTTTCTACAGTTATGTGTTGAAATGTTTCAGGATAACCCCACTGTAGTAGTAGAAGATCTGAGACTCTGCACTGTTAAACACTGTGAGGATTTGGAAAGACGATTCTGTTTCGAAGTGGTGTCCCCATCCAAGTATGTTTGAGTCTGTCTTCTATGGTTAGAAATATGAGGGGATTTTTTGTATTGAAAGTTTGACTCACATGACCTGTTGCATATCAGGAGCTGGATGATGCAGGCAGACTCAGAGAAACTGCGGCAGGCATGGATCAAAGCAGTGCAGAACAGCATTGCTACAGCCTTCAGAGAGAATGGAGAAGAAACGACTATTGTGAGTCAACTCAACACACATCATTCTAGTACATATCAGAGATGGGACTCAAATTCAGGTCAATGGTGTGAGAGACAGACTCTTCAAGCCACTGGAAGGTGGTGAACCAAAAAGTAAAGATGCACTTTGGAAATGTTGAGATCCAACAGAATTTAATTAAAAGTTCATGTAACAAAAAATCTACTGATATAGCAGGAGGCAGCAATAGTAATTAAACATAACATTTTCTTACAACCTTACACACATTCTTTGACAAAATGCATCATGAAATTTAATCTTATCTGGGTAAATGGTGAATTATAATTAGGATGAAGCTACATGTGTTAATTTATGAGATTGATTAATTCTATGCTTTTAGTCAGAGTTCACTGTAAACCACCATCTAGTGTTTGTAATAACTTCATATTGTGATCTAATGTGGTAATTTTGGTCATATAATGAGGTATATACATGTTTTTGTAGCAGTTTAGAAAAAAACTAATACCTACACCTGCTTAGCATTTCTCATGTAAACATCCTTTATTTCTATAAAAAAAAATAACCCAAATCTTATGAAAATCACATACATATGTTGATACAATTTCACGTTTCATGAGTAGAAATGTTTCACTGGGTTAGTAAAGTATGCACGGAACAGAACACACAAGTGTAATGGAACTTCATCATTGGAAAAGACAGGGCGGGTCATACATATGTATACGTAGATGCACACATTTTTTTTTTTTAATTTTTAGTCAGTCTTTCGACTAAAATGCCGTTTTGTTTTAGTCATATTTTAGTCATCTGAATTGTTTTTGTTTTAGTCGCCGAAATACAAGGATGGATTTGTTCAATTGTAATGGATTCATTTATAATATCTCTAAAATTTCCAAACCCATTATATACTCCCGGAAAAAAAAAAATCTATTAACCTGTTAATATGAATGATTTTAAAGTTTGAACATGCAATACAGACAGATTAACTGCTGTGACAAAAAATTATTATCTTAAAATTAAATAAAACCACTTCTTCAAAAGAAGAACACAGGCTTCCTTTAAATGAATGATATATGCATTCTTTATAACAACTTGCATACATATTTCTTTATTCTGTCAAGCAGACATATTTATTTGTATAAATTAAATAATTAATTCTCATTAAAGAGCACTGAATTCTTTTCACTTTTTCTTTTGTTGTTTGATTAATATTAAGGGCAAAGACGGCATTATGTTTATTATTGTAGAGAATCGAGGCGAATCAAACACAACTTAATCAAATTAATCTCTCATGGGATTAATTCACATGGCTTCAACACTTCAAGTTCTGGAGCCCACATTCCAGAGTCACGGAACGGCGCCGAGGGTTTGCTTTAGGGGATAATAAAACCCCCTCAGGAGACTTTTTATTGCCCTGCAGGCCCAAGAGATGGGCACTAAACAGGACGAACGTGTCAATATGTTAATGTTTTACTAAGACAAATCGGCTCCAAAATGGTGGAACGAGAGGCTCACAACAAAGACCCCTTTGATCCCCTGACAGAGATGTTCCACAGAACACATCTCCTCGTCCCCCTACGAGTTAAACTCTCAGTAACCTTGCTGTTGAGATCTCTCCAAGATCTCACGCATAAAATCATATAAACTCACCACAGAACAATTCTGGGACGTATAATCAAACCTCACAATTCTTATTGCTTCCTGCAATTCATGTATTGTGTTTGTTAATGCTTAGATCACATATTAATCATGTAATTGATGTTACTTAATAACTCTTGTAATTGTCATACAACCATTAGAAGTGTGAATGCCTCGTTTAATCTTAAACGAATCGTATTCTCGTAATTCAAAATATGGCTTGATTGAAATCTGCGTAAAAGGTTTTGTTTTATGATTATAATAATCATAAGGTTTAAACTATGGTCTTTTGTCTCTGCTAAGTGCTGGAGACCAGCTCACAGACCATGCATAAATTATGATAAGCAAGAAGTAGATCCACCTCCTCAAGTCATGCCATTACCTCATAGGCCAGAAGTTTCTAGGAGGTTGGACTAGAGTTTAAGTTAAAGATCCGAACAAAGGACCTCATGTTATGATTTTTGTTCCGTTCAATGTTCCGTGCCTGTTAGGTTCAGTTCGTTCAGTTCTGTAACTGTTAAGGTCGTGCCTCTCTCTAAAACCAGCAAGAGAGTGTTCTGTTCGTGCTTATCTCTGAAACAAAGATCTCTCTGTTCGCATGCTTCTACATTGACTAGACCAAATTCGACCAGCAGACGAATAACCCCTCAAGATCAGGGTTACAATTCAGCTCAGTCAAGCCATCCGACTTGTCTTACTTTCATTTCTTTCCTTTATTTCCTTTTTCGTAAAAGTCTCGTTTCAAAGTTAAGTTTGCTGCAAAGCTTCGTTTTTAACGGCTCTCCGCAACGCGCTTCGAAATCGTAAAGACTTTTCATTCGGCTGCTAGTCACACGTGACCGGCAAACCCAGGAACTTCCATCCCTGCACTTCAAAGACAACCAACCACGCAACGGACCCGGCCGGGAAACCGATGCAACGCAACATGGTCGCCGGAACAACAAGCAATCCCCTAAGCCACGCACAGATAGCTGAACTGGTGCTTTAATGTAAATTGAATAACCTCTCTAAGAAACGAAGGTTCAAATTAATGCTTGGTGGTCCTTTCAGGTTATGTCTTACGTGCATATAGAAAGTTGAAACTTTCTCTCACTCTTTCCAACTCACTCTTTCCCTTTCGCGACTGTATGAATGTGTGTGTGTGTGTGTGCGTGATTATGTTTAGACCTTAGTTGTGTTGAGAATAGCTAATAAAGCCTTCCATATATTTGAAAAGATAAATCTTCTTGTGTCGTGTTTGCACATTTAATGTCTTGTACTGTTCGATCTAAAGTTACCTTGCTAAGACATAGTGTTTCACTATAGATTTGGTATTTATATCCTTGCAAAGGTTATAATTACGTCCCGTTCAACCGAACTCTAAACGAGTCGTTTGCTCGGTTCAGTGATTCGGTTCCATAGATTCATTGCAAATCAATGAATCATTTCCCTTTGAGCTAAATTGGCCTTCGGCCCCCTTAAATACATTTTATGTATATTATTAAATGTTGCATTTGCTACATTATGCACTGTCACTTTAAGACCAAATGTGGGGACACAATTGCACTGATCACATCCGATATTCTCTTAACTGTTAACGTTCTGTAAAATCACCGACTGTCTCCCCAAAACGGATATTTAGACAATATTGTGTGTATTTGTCTACTCAGATGCGAAAGAGAGCTCAATTCAGTACTAGCACATGGTATAGCTTTCAATGTGAAATGGTGTGTGTCACCGGACGTGTACTTTGTCAGTTTATGGCCAGCAATATTGTAGTGTTATGCAAAGTCTGCAGTATGACCACTTTACCTCAGAGCAGTGTCCGTTAACTGAACGAATTGAGAATATCACCTGAAAATCTGATAACATCAGCAATTTTCATTCAAGCAGCTGATTTCAGTAAATGAATGTAAAACTAAATACATGTAAATTTAATATAAAACTATGTAAATCGTGCTCTGTGGCATGGCAGGATTTTGAACAAGGCCCTAAGCCGTAGCTGGGCGCCACTATTGTGTGTAAATTACACTAATAGAGAATAATGTGTTTTCTTATTTTAAAAAAACATGGCACTGTGCAATGTGGTGCTGCGCTTCTCGTCCGGTGTGCGACCCCTTTTAGGATATGGACAGCGGCCGACACGAACACACACACCTATTTACTTGATAATAAAGCCCTAAAGTAGTCTATCTTTCAACTCAGGACTGCGCCTCTCTCACAAATAAAGACAGGATTGGAGATCAAAAGTTTAACTGACACAGACTTCCGGTTGTCGAGCGGAATGGAGTAGCGGTGTTTTTCTAGGCTCCAGCCACACAGCCTCTATTTTTCACTATTACTTACTCGGTTTAACCTTAACCTCACTACAACTGCCTTTTAAACAGTAACTAGACAGTCCTAGTCAGCCAATATGTCTAAAACGCCTAACAATCAAAGAAAGAACTTGCTTTACCGGACTCTGATATCGACAATGCTACTTTAGCTAACATAGCTAAGAAGCCATCGACATTGTATGCCCTTTCCTGGTCTCCTTCATGAATAGCTGTTTTAGTCTGGGCGTTGTTCCCAATCCTCTCAAGCACGCCATTGTAAGACCTCTTCTTAAGAAACCAAACCTTGATCCTTTAGTATTGTCTAATTTTCGCCCCATATCCCATCTGTCATTTTTGGCTAAGCTTATGGAAAAGCTTGTCTTCTCCCAGCTTCAGTCATACCTCGATCTGCATGGTATGGGGGACAAATTTCAATCTGGGTTTAAGTCTAGACATAGTACAGAGTCAGCCTTATTGAGGGTTCATAATGACATTCTTAGAGCCATGGATAACAAAAACTCAGTGGTTATGGTGCTGCTTGACCTTACGGCTGCTTTTGACACCGTCGACCATGCAATACTCATCGACCGGCTCCAACATGTTGTGGGTCTACAGGGCACGGTGCTAAAATGGTTCTCGTCATATCTCACCAACAGATCCTTCTCAGTAATGATTGATGACTTCTCCTCTTCAGCTGCCCCTTTATCATCTGGTGTGCCCCAGGGCTCTATTCTTGGTCCTTTACTGTTCTCTCTTTATATGCTGCCACTAGGTCAACTCATTTCTAAACACAAAGTTCAGTTTCATTTCTATGCTGACGACCTACAAGTCTACCTTCCTGTAGTCTTGAATAAACATTCAGCATTAGATCCCATCCATAACTGCATCCAGGACAGTAAACGGTGGCTCTCTCAAAACTTTCTTCATTTGAATGAAGGTAAGACTGAGTATATATTTTTCACCCCGGACTCACCTTGTAGCTCTCTTAATTTTGGCCCTCTCACGCCCCAGTTTGCATCCACTGTACGTAACCTGGGTGTTGCTCTTGACAATAGATTGCATTTTGACAAACAGATTAGTGCAGTAGTTAAGATTAGCTTTTTCCAGCTGAGGCTCCTCAGTAAGGTGAAATCATTCCTGTCCCGTGCTGATCTAGAAAGAGCCATTCATGCATTTATCAGCTCAAGGCTAGATTACTATAATGCCCTCTACACTGGGCTTAACCAATCTCTACTCAACCGTCTTCAGATGGTTCAAAACGCAGCAGCCCGTCTCCTTACAAATGTCCATAAACATACTCATATCACCCCCGTCCTCTGTTCACTTCATTGGCTCCCGGTACGTTATAGGGTGGAGTATAAGGTCCTCATGTTTGTTTTTAAGGCCATTAATGGTCTGGCCCCGGCATACCTCTCTGAGCTGCTCACTATATACCAACCTGCCAGAACCCTCCGCTCCTCTCAGAGCACCTCTTTGATTATCCCCAAGTGTAGATACAAAAAGTTTGGAGGCCGATCTTTTGCCATCCAGGGTCCTACTTTATGGAATGCCTTACCTGCTACCCTACGTAACATAACTGTGTTTAGTGTTTTTAAATCACAATTGAAAACATTTCTTTTCAGGAAGGCTTTTAACACGTAATCATTTGTTTTGTTTTTAGTGGTTGTGTTAGTTATTATGTTGATTGCTTTGATTAGCTTTATCTTGCAATTCTTATATACTTTTATCTTTTTATGTATTTTATGGAAAGCGCTTTGTGCACCTTTCTGGGTGTTGTAATGGCGCTATATAAATAAAGATTGAATTGAATTGAAAAATGCTAGCAGATCTGCGGGTAGACTTCTGCGTAGGCTGCAGATCTGCGTAGGCTGACTCACTGTCCGTCAGATTTGAAAACAAACTCGCGCCTTTGCACTTCCTATTAGCCCCGTTGTGTATCATCTTGGTTCCAGTTCGAATGAACGAGTACTTATGTCCTTTTGATTTCTTACAGGTTAGGCTGTTGTTGGCAGGAACACGCTAGCATTCTGCTATTGTGTGACGTCATCACATTTTTGAATGGATTTTTAGAACAGATAAGTGAATTTAAAAATGCAATTTTCAGAGTGTATTTTCTTAGCCCTCCCTTTTGAATGCAACTTTCAAATTACTTGACAAAAAATTACATCCTGAGAAACGTGGAT